CTCGTATGGTTCCAACATATTAGAGTTTGATCATGGGAAAATTTCAGCAGCATCTCCCTATAGTTCTTCAAGTGCACGACGTTGATACAAAAAACCATGATGCACCCAAAGAATGCAAAGAGTTGCTACCAAATTTCTCACGTTCAAACTCTAATGTTTGAAATGCAAAATACAACATGTAACTGTGCATTCTCAAACTATCCAAAATTTTGGGACAATTCAAGAATTAATTGGACCGCAATCATGCTTTCGTATCCATTCGCAAAATCCAACTAATCTCAAATAGGAAGCTAAGCTCATATGAACATTGCAAACCATTTTTTGTACATCTGTACAAAAATGTTTGCATACAAATACATAAGCTAACAACACCTTTAAACTACATACAACACAATTTAAATGAATGAAAATCAATTAAGTTAGTTAAGAAAAATTATACCTCTAAGACTAATGACAATCTCGACGGCTGGAAATTCCAGCAGGAGAAGGTAGCTGCTACAATTGTTTTGCAGCTTCTGCCTTCCTGCATTCTGGTTAAGTTCAGTAAAGTGAAAGATTTTGCGCATGAAAGCACTATCGTACAAAACATGGCGCTTCAACTTTTTGGTGCCATCCAACTACACTTTGCCGCGTTTTTATAACACATTGCGTGACGAATAGTTCGTCGCACATTACCTTTTTTTTTTTTTCTTTTAAGTTCATTTTTTGAAAAAAAAAAATTAATTTTTTCATTCACTATTCAAATTTTTTCAAACCACATAAATACTTAATAAATCAAGAACTTATTTCATTATACCATTTGTGCATAATTAATATATATATATATATATTAAAATGCTTTAATTTTATTCATAATAAACATTAAATACATATTTAATTAAACCGTTTGTACTAAAAAAAACTTAAAATTCAGATCTAATTATTAAATAAGCAATAAAATAAAAATAAAAAGCACTATTCTACTCCTCCACCGGTAGTAATAGTTCTTGCTGTAGTTTTGCTGCACGTTAATTATCAAAATTCCACTCCCAGAAACAAGACTTGAACATGTTGTTAATAACTTTCATCAGATTTGGGTTACTTTTATCAATGTCCTAATTAGGCTATCATGCAAAAATTATTAAATTAAAATCTCACTATTATATTATATTTGTCACATCCCGACCCGAGCCCCCACCACATCCCAGGCTTGACTTCACCGTAGCACGATATTATCCGCTTTGGGCTTTGACCACACCCTCACAGTTTTGTGCTGGGAACTCACACGAGAACTTCCCAGTGGGTCACCCATCCTGGGATTGCTCTTGCCTAAACTCGCTGAACTTCGGAGTTCAGATGGAACCCGAAGCCAGTGAGCTCCCAAAAGGCCTCGTGCTAGGTAGAGATGGGAATATACATATAAGGCTTATAGGATCCACTCCCCTGGGCGACGTGGGATGTTACAATCCCCCCTTGGGGACCCGACATCCTCGTCGGCACACTTTCGGCCAGGGATTGGCTTTGATACCAAATTGTCACATCTTGGCCCGAGCCCCCACCACATCTCGGGCTTGACTTCACCGTAGCACAATATTGTTCGCTTTGGGCCCCAACCACACCCTCACGGTTTTGTTTCTGGGAACTCATATGAGAACGTCTCATTAGGCCACCCATCTTGGGATTGCTCTAGCCCGAACTCGCTTAACTTCGAAGTTCCAATGGAACCCGAAGCCAGTGAGCTCCTAAAAGGCCTCGTGCTAGGTAAAGATGGTAATATACATAGAAAGCTTACATGATCCACTCCCCTGGGCGATGTGGGATGTTACAATATTTAACAAACATTATTATTATTTAACTAATAAAATTAACACATACAGCTAACTCATCAATCATGTGCATCTTCAGCTCCTTCAGGGATGGCTTTCCAAGACTCCCAAATCGTAGCATATTTGGTACGCACCAATGCTCCAATGTTAGACCAAAAGTTGGCGCGTTTTCTAACTTCACAACCCCTATTATTTCATCAGTAGTGATTCGATAATGGCAGCCACCATAAGTGTGTCGGACCCGTACCGCAACAAGTTTCTTCTTGTCTATCAACAAAATATGTTTTCATAATAGTGAAGCTAAATAAAAAAATTTATACAAAATGCAAAATTTACAATGCAAACCTTTTCCGGAACCTTCATCATCCATTATCTTTGACGAACGTACACCACTATCGGCCATCGTACCAATAATCAAAGAATGAACTGATTATAATCTGCATAATTGTTAAGCATTTCCCAAACGAATTGTGAAGAATAAGGAGTGCAAAAGTGCATATTTATAGGAAAGTTAGGGACTTGTGCAATGAACACTTTGTCACGCAAACATCTGCACTAAATGCGGTATTAATTCCTCTGATTTAGATGCACGAAATACTCTAACCTAAAACCGAACACCTTTTGCGTGATGAAGATTTTGTTGCATAAATTTTTGCATAGTGACGAAGGCTTTGTTGCACAAACTCTCTAGTGACGTAGCTTTTGTCGCGCAAACTCTTTAGCGACGAACGTGAATAATTGTAATTATGAAGTTTACGTAAACATAGATATCTATATTTACGTAAACTTCATAATTACAAACAAATATTCAGTTATAATATTTATTCTAAAAATAATTAAAACCTTAAATAACTTGAATTAATCAATTCAAGTATTTAAAAAACCAAACAAGAATTAAAGCCTAATTAAGTCCAAATACATAACCTATAAAAAACCTTAAATTTAAATATTGTCCTCAAAAACATAAATTTAAAACTACTATTTTGATGGTCCTCCATTGACACACCCCAACCGAAATCAATGCGTTCTGGCCGTCACGTGAGGGTGACATAGCCATGTGCATAGTGTAGAACTGATAATGATATAAAGAAATGTGAATAACAAAGAACCAAGGTAACTAATTTACACTAAGTAAATATAAGTGCAAAACCCGATATTTAAGTGTGATACACCATAATCAGAGCATAGGTAGCCTAAGTGAAGATTTTCAAAACCATTTCAATTATCAAAGGTAGTAACCCCTCGCTGTAAAACCTGTATAATTTCCCAGAAATTAAAATACATATCTATATCACAACCATTCTCAGAATAGCAAAATCCACATATATGCCATGTCAAATATCTTAGCATAAAATATGTAAACCAGGTGATATCAATCCAAATGATATGTCAACCGGAGTCACTTAATATGACCTGTACAGCTAAATCTATAGCTCATCCATCTAGCCGGAGACACCTAATATAACTTGTACGGCTCAACCAATAGCTCAACAAATATGCATGCATGCGAGTCAAAGCCAGCTAAAGTGGTCTGTACGACATGACTGGGTGTAAATAAGTACACTCAAGTGCTACGATCACGCGACAACTGTGCTAATGATTGCGGGTCACCTACGAGTCGAAACCACCTATAGTGGTCTGTAAGACAGGAATGTGCACCTAACTTGCATCCAAGGTGAGCGTATAGTGTAGGAGGTGAACATCACGTGAAGGACTGTGCCCTGACCACAGGCGAGAGCACCAACACCAGGGTGCAGGTTATGGGCTATAGATACATCTCAGCATAATCATACAACTCACATCCACAATCTATAAACTCAACTGGAACTTCCCTAAGCGTTCGCAACATCAAACATAAATATGTGCAACTACTAAATGCATATTCTAAATATAAAACATTTGGCATGGCATTTAAAAACACAAGTCCATTTAAACACATTTTCTAGGAAAAATACCAAGCATATATCTACACTAAAAACCAAAAGCCCAGTCACTGATATGTGGAAGGGTCGTATAGCCCCCGAGTCTCGCTTGACTGCGCTCATCCTCTGGAAAAGTCTCACCTATATGTGAAACAACTATTTTAACGTTATTTTTAAGCACATATACAAAACTAGATAATATCTTCTCATACGTTGCTCAATTGGGGTATTTGAATATACCATCATGGCTTACTCAACCCCAAGAACATACCGATATTTTTAGAATAATTTTTTAAGTTCCCACGTGCCGGCCAAGGCACGGCCACACGCGCAGGCACATGCCTGGCACACTGGACGGAATCCTGTACAACCTTAGGGAATATTCCGTTAAATAAGGAAATATACCATTAAATATACCTGAGGTCATTAGTAATATTCCGTCAAAGTTGATTGAATATTCCCCTTCTCATTCCTTGGTTCACTGGAGTCCATCGCTGGTCACCATTTCTATCGCCGGATTCTAGGCAAATTTCAAACCTTAATATCTCACTCATTTTAACACCAAATTTCATGAAATTTGTACCAAAATGAAGCTTAGGATGAAAGGAACACATCCTTACCACTTTCAGGACCTAAAACCAACGGAATCTCACCGGAAAAATCTCGATACTCTGGCCACCCCTGCAACTCGACAAACTCGAGTGTCCTGATGTCCAAAACCTTCCAAAACTCCTTTCTAAGCTCCGTGAAGAAGTTTTAAGACTTCCTAGGACCCTAAAAGTCGACGAGAACTCTGCTATCATGAAGGATGAACAGTGCACTTCGTCGGAGCTCCCTGGTTGTAGAGTTTCCGAAGTTCTCACGTCCAACCAAAGGTATAATTGAGTTCGTAAGGTTACAATGAAGGTGATGATGGTGTCCACAAGCTTGATCTGTGAATGGAGAGCTAGATTAGGAGTTGTCCGTACAGGTTGTACGGATGGTTGAAAACGATAGGGTCAACGGGTAAGTGTGTGTGTGTATGGTCCGGATTTGGGCAACCAACCAAAAACAATTAAAGCCTAAATTCTAATTGGGTCCAATTACTTAGGGAGAAAATGAATTAGTCCAAATCCTTAGCCCATCTACACATACCACTACCAACGCTCAAGGGCAAATTAGTCATTTCACACCATCGAGAATAAAATATATTATATTTCGGGATGGGTTGTCACAACCTACCCCCTTAAGAAAATTTCATCCCCGAAATTTCATACAATAATATAACAAACCACTAATAATCATGAAACAAGCGTGGATACATATCTCTCATAAGATCATCCGTCTCCCGGGTAGCTTCCTCTACCGAGTGATTTCTCCAAAAAAATTTCACTAAGTGCACGATCTTATTCCTCAAAACCTTATCTTTCCAATCCAAATTCTTCACTGGCTCCTTGTCATAAGTCAAATCTAGATTAATTTCCAATGGCTGAGAAGGTATCACATGTGATGGATCGGAAACATAATGACGAAGCATGGAAACATGAAAAACATAGTGCACTTTAGATAACTCTGGAGGCAATCCAAGCCTGTAAACAACTTCACCGACTCGCTCGGTGATCTGATACGGTTCGATGTACCTAGGACTTAGCTTACCCTTTTTCCCGAACTGTACTACACCCTTCCGTGGTGATAACTTCAAAAATACCCAATCACCAACTTTATACACCCGATCAGTGGCATGCTTGTCTGCTAGACTTTTTTGTCGATCTTGGGCCGCTTTCAGGTTAAACTTAATTACATAAATATTCTGAGTAGTCTCCTCTACCATCTTAGGGCCCACCAATACTCTTTCACCAACCTCTGACCAGCACAATGGCATACGACAAGACTTACCATAAAGTCCCTCAAAAGGTGACATACCAATGCTCGAATGGTAACTGTTATTGTAGGCAAACTCCATCAAATCTAACCACTGATACCAGGCGTCGCCAAATTGCAATACTGAAGATCTTAGCATATCCTCCAACGTCTGAATAGTCCTCCCAGATTGCCTGTCTATCTAAGGATGATATGTTGTACTGTAAAGTAACCTTGAACCCAGAGCCCTCTGAAATGCCACCCAGAACTTAGAAGTGAACCTAGGATCCTAATCCGAATTGAAACTAATCGGAACCCTATGGTATTTAACAATCTTTGATATGAATAATTCAGCTAATCGTCTTAAAGAATATTTCTCCCTTACTGGAATAAAATGCACTGATTTAGTGAGCCGATCCACAATCACCTAAATACCATCGTAACCATTTCGTGTACGAGGAAGTTTATACATGAAATCTATGGTGATATCTTCCCATTTCCACTGTGGAACGGGAAGTGGCTACATCAATCAAAATGGCTTTTTCTTTTCAGCTTTAACCTGTTGACAAATGGCACCCCTACTCATATATTGAGCAATTTCTCTTTTCATACCCGACCAGCAATAAAATGGTCAAATGGTATGATACATTTTAGTACCCCGAGCATGCATTGCATATGCTGAAATATGCGCTTCATCAATAATTTCTTTCTTTAATTCAACATTATTTGTCACGTTCATTCATTTCTCTTGCATAAGTATACCATCAGACTCCCGAACTCTAAGATCTTTCTTTTTCCCTTGTGACATAGCCTAAATTAACTCATGGGTTTCTTCATCATTCATCTGAGCCTCAAGCACACGATCAATTAAAATTGGTCTGACCTGGAAACTGGCAAGCAAAGCGTCCTCCCGATTTTCCACTCCTAAGTTCACTCCAGTGGATCTCAAATCGGCAAGAAGAGGGATGTGACTAGTGTATAAAGCATTAATTTGACCTTGAGACTTCCTACTAAGTGCGCTTGCCACCACATTTGCATGGCCAGAATGATACTCAATCATGCAATCATAATCACTGAGCAATTCAATCCATCTTCGTTGTCGAAGATTAAGATCCCTCTGAGTGAAAAGATACTGAATACTTTTATGATCCGTAAAAATCTTATATTTTTCACCATAAAGATAATGTCTCCAAATCTTTAAGGCAAAGATAATGGATGCTAATTCAAGATCATGTGTAGAATAATTCATCTTATGAGGCTTCAACTGTTGCAAAGCATAAGCAATCACCCTACCATGCTGAATCAACACATAACCCAGACCATTCAATGAAGCGTCACTGTAGATCTCAAAATCACCACTATCATCTGGGAGCGCCAAAACCGGTGCATAAGTGAGACAATACTTCAACTGCTGGAAGCTCTGCTGTATATTATCGTCCCACTCAAATTTAACATCTTTTCTTGTCAACCTCATTAGTGGTAATGCAATAACTGAAAAATATTTAACAAACCGTTGATAATAACCTGCTAGACCAAGGAAACTCCGTACCTCCGTGACGGTTCATGGCTGTTCCCAATTCTCAACGGCTGTTACCTTTTGAAGGTCTACCAGAATACCTTGGGCAGATATAACATGTCCCAAAAATGCCACTTGATCTAACCAAAATTGGCATTTGCTAAACTTAGCATACAATTGATGTTCCCTCAACTTCTTCAACACCAAAGTGAGATGTCGAACATGCTCTACTTTAGACTTATAGTACACCAGAATATCATCAATAAAGAATGACAAACCTGTCTAAATATGGCTGGAATACTCGATTCATCAAATCCATAAAAGCTGCAGGTGCATTAGTTAATCTGAATGGCATCACAAGAAACTCATAATGACCATATCGAGTCCTAAAAGACGTCTTAGGAACATCCTCACTTTTAGTCTTCAATTGACAGTAACCAGACCTCAAATCAATCTTAGAAAACATGCAGATACCTCAAAGTTGATCAAATAAATCATCTATACGATGCAACAGATAACGGTTTTTAATTGTTACCCAATTCAACTACCGATAGTGAATACATAGCCTCATAGTCCCGTCTTTCTTATGTACAAATAAAACTGGAGATCCCCAGGGTGAATTACTAGGCTAAATAAAACCCTTATCAACTAGTTCCTGCAATTGAATTTTCAATTCTCTCAATTCGGTAGGAGCCATTCGATAAGGAGTTAAAGATATAGGATATTTACCTGGAAGTAAATCAATAATGAACTCCACATCTCGATCTGGCGGCAATCCAGGTAAATCATCAGGGAATACATCAAGAAAATGCCTGACTGCTCGTACATCCTCACACTGTTAGGAACATTATCATTTAGCACCACATATGCCAAATATCCCTGACAACCTTTCATTAACAACGTTTTAACCCTTATGGTCGAAATAACACCATGTCTTACTCCACTACACTCACCCATAAACGTAACCTCAGGTAATCCAAGACGATGAAAAGTGACTGTCTTCCCGTAGCAATCTATATTGGCATGATTGTAATAACCAATTTGCCCAAATAACATCAAAATCAACAATATCTAACGGGATGAGGTCAGCTGGCATAACAACATCCTCCACCAACACGGGACATCCTGTATACACACAGCTAAGATAACATGCCTCCCCTCTAGGCATTGAAAACTCTAAATCATACCCAAAAGGTGTAGGATAAGGTTGTGTCGCCTAAGCAAACGTATGAGAAATAACAGAATGCGTAGCACCACAATTAATTAATACTGTAGCAAAATGACCAAGAATATTCAATGTACCATGATCAAATCAGGATTATTCCGAGCATTCTGCAATGTAATGTGGTGAATACATCCCTGAGCCTGTTGTCGTCCTCATCGACCTCTGCTAGCCTGATTACCATGTCCCTGCACATTACGCCCTTGACCTGGCTAATTAGGCTACCTTGATGGTTCTGTACTACTAGAAGCAACCTCCACATGTTGGGACTGTCCTCAAGGATACCATTGAGACCCACCAACTGAATTGAAAGAATACGATGTATAACCTCCAGGATACTAAGGGTAACCACTCTGATAATATGGATCCAGCAGATACTGATGCTGCCCAGCAGAATAAGGAGCTACATCACCCTGATAATGATAAGCACCCCCACGACCAGTCTGGGCATAACTACTAGGTCTTGGAACTTGCTAGATCGGAACTGGTGGTGGTAAGGAAGGCAGCTGAGGCTTCTGCTGATTCTGTGGACAATGAATAGCCCTATACCCCATTTGACCACAAGTATAGCATCCGTTGCTGCCTCGCCTACACTCCCCAAAATGTCTATTATTACATCTGCGGTATAAGGGAACACCTGTGCTACCAGAATCCTTCTGTCTCTGAAAACAAGGACCTCCAGAAAATCTACCACCCCTTCTTTGCCCAGTGGAACTCAAACCCCCTCTAGAAGAACTGAAACTAACACCACTTCTCTTAAAACTTTGAGTCTTACGAGGTCCCTGAGACGATTGACCCATATCTTTACCATTTTTCTTCTGGTTACCATCTTTTTCTTCTTCTTCCTTGCTATCATTGGGCATGTCCTCTAAATCTTCAATTCGAAGCAGAATCTCATAAAACTCCTGGTAAGTAGCACAGGGAGTCGTGGTCGCCATAGAACACCACTTCTTTCGAGTACCCAACCTAAAACGATGAAGCATCTCTACTGGATTAGCAGCAACCTCCGGGTGATAACGAGACAAATTAGTAAACCTTTTGTAGTACTCATTAGCTGTCATCTTCCCTTGTTTCATGTGCGTAAATTCTTGCTTCTTGCGATCTATATGCTCTGGAGGAATGAATGTTTTATGAAATAACCTCTTAAAAACTTCCCAATCAGTAGCTTCCTCTGGTGATAACTAATAAGACTCTTGTCTCCACCAGGATGCCGGCTCCAGACCTAAAAACCAGGTAGTCGTCTCAACCCACTTATCCTCAGGGAGATTCCCTTGCCTATGCATCAAACGGAAAATCTTCTTAAGATGATTGAGCCACCGCTCAGCTCCCTTATGTCCTTCATTACCTATAAACTTATCCAACTTTAGATTATACATTGTCTCTAGGGGAGTCCTCTAGGGAGGGCGAAGCGAAAACTAAATAGCATTGGCTATAACTTCCCCTAACTGAGCAATATCAGGGAAACCAGACTTAGCCGAGGAACGTGGCATTCTACGAGATATGCAGGGCTGCCAAACCTAGGCTCTAATACCAAACTGACACACCTCGACCGAAATTAAGGCATGCTGGGCATCACGTGAGGGTGACATAGCCATGTGCGCAATACAAAAATGATAATGATATAAAGAAATGTGAATAACTAAGAACCAAGCTATATAATTCACACTAAGCAAATATATGCAAAACCTGATATTTAAGTGTGATACACCATAATCAGAACATAGGTAGCCTAAGTGCAGTCAAACAAGACACGTACTAATTATACAATACTAGATGTGATCCTACATTAGTGATAATCTATCAAAATCGCCGTCAATTCTTCGTAAGCCACCAACAAGCACTCCTACCTAAAACCTGGAGGGGCGCAAAACAAAAAGTGTGAGTGGGCAAAAACAAAGCTTTTCCAAACCAACAATCACCCCTCGCCGTAAAACCTGTATAGTTTCCCAGAATTAGAATACATATCTATATCACAACCATGCTCAGAATAGAAAAATCCACATATATACCATGTCAAATATCTCAACATAAAATATGTAAGCCAGGTGATATAAAACAATGCAAATGATATGTTAGCTGGAGTCACTTATTATGACATGTACGGCTGAATCTATAGCTCATCCATCTAGCCGGAGTCACCTAATATGACCTGTACGACTCAACCAATAGCTCAAAAAATATGCCTGCACATGAGTCGGAAACACTTAAAGTGGTATGTACAACGGGACTGGGTGTAAATAAATATGCTCAGGTGCTACGAACACATAAAGAATGTGCGAATGATTGCGGGTCACCTACGAGTCGGAACCACCTATAGTGGTCTGTATGACAAGACTGTGGACTTAACTGGGATCCAAGTTGAGCGTATAGTGCGGGAGGTGAACATCACATGAAAGACTGTGCCCTGAACATGGGTAGGAGCACTAACATTGGGGTGCAGGTTATGAGCTATAGACACATCTCAGCATAATCATGCAACTCACATCCACAATCTATAAACTCACCTGGAACTTACCTAAGCGTCCGCAACGTTAAACATTGATTGGAGCATATTTATGCGACTTATAGCTTATTTCCTTGCATTTAGTGAGTTAGTTTCTATTTATTATAGTGATTTAAGCTATTTTCATGTGTTTGTAGATCCAATTGACTAAAGTGGCAAGAAAAGGCAATTTGGAGCAATTTTGGACTTGGAAATGATAGCACATGCATGGAGCAAGATGGATGGACGAAATTGAAGTTCAAGAAAGGCTAAGAATATGCTAAAGAGATGGAAGAAATTAATTCAAGACTTGGAAGAAAAGGAATCAGCTACAAAGAAGGAAACATGAGTCAAACTACCTTATTTTGACTTAGTCAATCCTAATATTTTCCTACTTAATTTCCAGCTGCAAGAGGATCCCTAATTATATTAGGACACTTAAATATATGTTCTAGAAGCCTAATCCCATTCTAAGAGGGATGCCGCACCACCTATCCCTTTCCTTCCTTTTCCTTGCCGTGCAAGGCCTTCCCCCTTTCCCAATTCCCTTGCCACACCCTTCTTCCCTTTTCTCTCTTGGATTCTGATTTAATTACCCTTTTTCCTTGAGTTCTTTGAGTCTAGTTAAGTGTTTTCAAGACTAGTTTTGTTTTTTTGAGTCAGTTTTAAATAGATTTGTAATCCCTCCTAATCCCCGGCCTAGAACGATCCCTACTTAGATCTTTACTACAATTGTCAATAAGAGGGTTTAATTTGAGTGCTAGTTTATAACACATCAAACATAAATATGTGCAACTACTAAATGCATATTCTAAATATAAAACATTTGGCATGGTACTTTAAAACACATTTTCTGGGAAAAATACCAAGCATATAAATATACTGAAAACCAAAAGCCTACTCACTGATATATGGAAGGGTTGTAGCCCCCGAGTCTCGCTTGACTGCTCTTGTCCTCTGGAAAAGTCTCACCTATATGTGAAACAACTATTTTAATGTTATTTTTAAGCACATATACAAAACTAGGTAATATCTTCTCATACATTGCTCAATTGGGGTATTTGAATATACCATCGTGGCCTACTCAACCCCACGAACATCCCCAAATTTTTAGAATAATTTTCTAAGTTCCCACACGCGCGGCTACGCGCAGGCACGTGCCTGGCACACTGGATAGAATCCCTAACGGCATTAGGGAATATTCTGTTAAATAATAGAATATACCGTTAAATATACCTAAGGTCGTTAGTAATATTTCGTCAAAATTGACTGAATATTCCCCTTCTCCTTCCTTTGTTTGCCGAAGTCAGGCACCGGTCACCGCTGCTATCGCCGGATTCTGGGAAAATTTCAAACCTTAATATCTTACTCATTTTAACACCAAATTTCATGAAATTTGTACCAAAATGAAGCTTAGGACGAAAGGAACACATCTTTACCGCTTTTAGGACCTAAAACCAATGGAATCTCGCCGAAAAAATCTTGATAGTCCAGCCATCCCTGCAACTCGACGAACTCGAGTGTCTCGACGTCCAAAACCTTCCAAAACTCCTCTATAAGCTTCGTGAAGAAGTTTTAAGACTTCCTAGGACCCTAAAACTCGACGAAACTCTACGATCACAATAAATGAATAGTAAACTTCGTCGGAGCTCCCTGGTTGTAGAGTTTCCGAAGTTCTCACGTCCAACCAAAGGTATAATTGAGTTCGTAAGGTTACAAGGAAGGAGATGATGGTGTCCACAAGCTTGATCCGTGAATGGAGAGCTAGATTAGGAGTTGTCCGTACAGGTTGTACGGACTGATGGAAACGATCATGGGGGAGAGAGAGAAAGAAGGGTCAATGTGTAAGTGTGTGTGTGGGGTCTGGATTTGGGCAACCAACCAAAAAAAATTAAAGCCTAAATTCTAATTGGGTCCAATTACTTAGGGAGAAAATGAATTACTCCAAATCCTTAGCCCATCCACACATGCCATTACCAAATGCCCAAAGGCAAATTAGTCATTTCACGCCAGTGAGAATAAAATATATTATATTTCAGGACGGGTTGTCACATCCATTCCGCTCCACATCATAATGCCATCGCTTGTAACCTCCCTTAAACGCCTCCTCCGTCAACTTCATCAACCCTTCGTTCGTATCATCATCCAGAGTATACTTCCAATATGCAAATAATTAATTCCAACATATAACAAAAAATTTCACAAAATTAATTATTGATCTATCAACAGTATACTTACTAATAATTGATCCATCACCGCATTCTTCACATTCTCGGGCATAAATTTCCAAGAACGCCACTCAGCAATAGGACAATTATTCTGCATGGCTACACCAATCATATGCGTGAACTCCACATGTTGCCTCAAATCATACGGGTTAGTAGGCACGCTCTCATTCTGATTTTTATCCTCCATCCCAACACGAACAGAATTGTGAAGAATAAGGAGAGCAAAAGCCCATATTTATAGGAAGGTTAGGGCCTTTGCACGACGAAAGCTTTGTCGCGCAAACATTTGCACTAAATACAGTATTGATTCATCTGATTCACATGCACTGAAGGCTCTGACTCAAAACTGACTGTAACTTGCATGATAAAGCCCTTGTTGCGCAAGTGTTCCTCGGTTTCCCATGCGTTGAATGCTCTGACCCAGAAACTGAACGAGCTTTGCATGACAAAGCCTTTGTCGTGCAAAGGTTCTTC